CCCCGCCCGCCGCAGTAACGACCCTCGTCAATCTGCTATACCTGAAATGGGGCGGATTTGCCGAAGCCATCATGTATGGGCAGCGGCCGCGAGTGAGCGGGACGGACGATGCGAGGCGAGCGATCGGCCTGTGGGTCGTTAGGCGGCGGGAGGGCGCGGTAATGGACGCCACGGCCGCACGACGGGGTCCGTCGGACGGGCGGTAGCGGCGGCGGCAGGGAGGGCGACATTAGCCGGCGCCCGCCCAAACACAACCGCGGGAAAAACAGCTGCGAGCTGCGGCGTGCAAAGATACCACCGAGGCGCCCACGCACTCACGCGAGCACGCCGCCCAACGACCGCAACCGTGTTCTAACAAAGTTCGAGTCGTTTGGAATATCAGCGGACACGGCGGCGCGGGCGGGAGAGCAACATCGACCCGGCCGGCGGCCAGGCAGGGGCCCTGCAGGGCCAGCCCAGCGCGCCCAGCGGGCAGAGGGAAATGTTTCACCCCGTCCACGGGCGAGCGGTCGCACCGCACCCTGCTGCCGCCCCCGCCCTCCCCTACCCCGCTCCGGCCGCACAGTCAGGCTGTTGGCGCCGACACGCCTTGCGCCCGGGGCCGCCCCGCCCCCGTTGTAGTCGAGGTTAATTCACCCACTAAGCAACTAGTTTCTCTCCCCGGGCCGAACCCCCTGCAGCCGGCAGTAGCAGTAGTAGCCCGGCCCATCTCACCCACCCCCTAGTTTGACCGCAGCCGCCACAGAATCGGGGCGGGCGGGGGGCGAGCGGGGGCGGGCGACCAAGGTCCAATGCAACCGCAGAGAGGGACGGCACCGCTGGGGCGGGCGGGACGGGCCGCCGGGGCGGAGGGGTCGGGAGGGAGTCACTCCCATTACTATCACGGCGGGGATGAATCAATCCCAAGTGATGGCGATGGCAAAAACACCCCCGGGGGCGGCTTACACTCTGGGGCACTCACCTGATGCAGCACGTCCAGGGTGACGGGGTACACCATGTGCTCCACGATGACTCTGAGCACGGTGTTGGGGCCGCCCTGCACCTCGTTGGGCGTCGAGCCGGAGAGCGCCTGGGCAGCCTGGAGGGCGGCCTGGGCCGACGCGTTCTGCAACACAGGAAGAAAGAGAAAAGGTCAAGTCGGGGCGAGAAAAAAGAAACACAATTTGTGGAAGGGAAGTGTGCGACAGCAATCAACGCCCCACGGGGCAGACGGCGGCAGGGGCCGGGGGCGGAGAGAAGGAAGTGACTCTCTCCTCCCCGCATCCTGCACTAAACTGAAAGAGCAGGCGGGCGGCGCGGTGCACCCTGGCGGTTATGCAGCACCGCGCCAGGCGTGCGGGCGGGTGGCCTACGCGCACGGGGCCTCCACAGGCCGTTTAGCAGACTCCGGCCTCCGGCCCAGCACTCTGTCCACGACCTCCACCTCCGGCTCCCTCAGACATTTCCGCGGCACGTGGTCTCATCGCCGCGGCCCTAAAACACCGCCGCCCTGGCCTCAGGGCTCGCCACCGGGCTGGCCGGGGCGGACTGCAGGTGCACCGGGGAGGGCCGGGCCGGGGGTCATAAAGACCGCTAAGGGCATCCACGAGGAATCGAGTCCAAATTCCAGGCGCAGCGCGCGCACCGAACGCCGTAAAAGCGAATTCGGCACCGTAAACCGCACGAGCCCTGGCGAGCGAGCGGCGCCACCCGGACACCGCCGACTGCATGCCAAGCTCTGCCCTCTCCTACCACAAAAAAATAAATAAAAAATAGAATAAAATAAAGAAATAACCACGAAAAAATCATAACGGCTTGAGGCAGTAACTTGGTGTAACGGCTATGGACCCGCGAGCGTTAGGCCGCCAAGGCCACGCTTACACCCTTGTGTCCTCGCGGTCCCCTCCCACCTCCCCCTCTTTTTGTATTGGTCGTCAATAAATTCTTAAATTCTTGGATTCCTCCCCTTCCTCTCCTCCCCTTACCTCCCTCCCTCCTCTCATATAACTCTTTATTACACTAGTACTACTACTACTACTACTACTACACGTGCGACCATATCATATCGTGGCAAATATGTTGGGCAAATAATGTAAGGAGCGTCCTGAGCAAACGCTATCCGCAGAAGGCCGCAGGGGCGGGTCAATAGCGAGCACATCAAGGGCCCGGGTCAGGTGGGGCCTGCGCGGGGCGGGCGCACAAGTGGGAGAGAGATAGAGCCGGGGAAAGACTACACGAGTCAGGTGCCCGAGTGGGGGGCGGCGCGGGGACACGAGAGAGGAGGAGCGAGGAGAGAGGGCGAGAGAGAACGAGAGGGGAGATTGCGAGCGCAAAGGTACAGCCGGATAGAGATGACAGAGATGAAATACAGAGGGGCGGGGCGAGGAGCGGCGGAGTCGGTCCCGTAAGACATGGATGTGGAGAGGATTATTCTGGCCGTAAGGAGCACGGCCACAAAAGCCTGATGAAGGAAGTGAAATCCCCCGCCTCCCTTTGCTCGCCAGCTCTCCCGCTCGGCTCCCCCGCCCCTCGCTCCACCTGCACAGCCGCTCCACTCCCACACAACACTCAAGCAGTGCAGGGGGGAGCCGGTCGCGCCGGGGCGGCAGCGGCGGGGGGTTGCCACGACCTGTGTACACGTCGGCAAAAATTGAGTTTTCCTGCTGAAGCGAAACATAATCCCCGTGATGGGCGCCGGAGCTCCAAGCGCCAGCTTGCTTTAGCCTGTTGAGGAGCAACATGTGGTCTGGGCTGAGAGGCATACGTGTGTGTGTGTGTGCCCGGCCCGGACGGGGCCTGCCGCCGCAGCAGCCCGAGCAGCGCTTCCTGATTTCATTCCGCGCACCGCAGCTGCATCTCAAAGGCGTGGAGCAAACGTGTTACGGGGCTGGGAGAGGCTCCCCGCTCACTCCTCGCCACGCTCACTCACACTCTCTGTGTATTTCTCTCTCTCTCTCTCTCTCTCTCTCTCTCTCTCTCTCTCTCTCTCCCTCTCTCTCGCGCCCGCCCTAAGTCCGTGCTTAAATAGCAGACCATCAGGGCCGCGCTCCTTCCTTCCCGTGACGCTGAGCCGGGCGAGGCCCGGCAAAGGCCGCTCGTCTCGTCTCCGGCGATGAAAAAGGACTCGTGACAGAAATACACGGCGGCGTGGCGAGGCGTGGTGGGGCGTGGCAGGGTAGGACGGGGAGGGGCGGGGCGAGGGGTCGCCGCCAGTGTTTCATTATGGATACGAATGGCCCTCTCAGCGTGTCCGTTCGCCTTCCCCGCGGCCATTCGCGACAAAGCGGATATGGAGTCCTCCCCTCACCCCCCACCCCCCGCTACGCGCCGCCACCCCACACGACGACATAAAGCAGAACGTTCCAAATTATCATCAGAGCTCGTCTCGAGCACCCGGGCGTGCAAAAAACACACACGCACACACACATAAAACACTCAAAAAGAAACCGACTCACACTATGGCGTGCCAACGACCAGCGGCAGAGCAGGGAATAGGACACGCGAAAAAGGAAAAGGAAAACGTCATCAGTGTTTGAACCCACGAACGCGAGTCAACCCCCAGGCGGAGGGTCGGCCAGGGGGGAGAGTCTCGGGGGCCCGACCCAGCCCAGCAGCGGGCGGGTGGACGTGACGCCATCGTCCTTGCTGACCCCTCCCGGCCAGCCCAGCTGGCATCTGCCGTGCCAGGGAGGAGGAGGAGCAGGGGAGGCAGCTCAGTCCACAATCCCTCATCGGGGGGCGACCGTCCAGGTGAGCGAGGCAACAAATGACAAAATAAACCAGACACGCAGACAGTCGTGGGCCGGCGCCACCTGTCTCGTCCTGCGTCACAAATCTCTCAAGGCCTCCTGACCTACTTCTTTTCTCCTTTCAAAAAAACAAAAACGAAACAAAAAAACGCGTCGCAGCACTTTTATAGTACTACTACTGCCACCGCCCCCTCTTTTCCGTCTTTCTTTTCCACTGGCTGCTCCACGAGGATCCCGAGGCGGCAGAACGGAAACATATTCCCCACCTGCTTTGTAATGTTATGGCCGCGGCCGACAAGAGAAGAGAAAGGCGAAAGAGAGGGTGGTTGGAGAGAGGGAGAGAAAGAGAGAGAGGAGAGGAGAGGGGAATGGAGAATGGAGAGGGAGTGCGAGGAAGAAGAGACTCAGCATGTGGCGTGGGGCAGCGGCACACAGACCGGGGGAGAAGGAAGGGGGGCTGCACAGCACAGCATGCGGCTCATTTCCGGCCACACCACCACCCCTTTGTTTACCTTCTTGCACGTTTTTCTGCCTTTACTTTTCCTTGGCCGACGCGGCCCTGCCGTGCGCGCCAGCAGCCACTCCCGCCCCCCACTGCCCCCCCGCAGGCAATCGGTCTCCATTACCGCGACGAGGACGGCGAGGTCGAGGTCCTTGATGCAGGAGCGGGCAGGAGCGACCCCGCCGCGGCCCAGTCACCCGTTCAACATTTCAGGAAGCCGGCTGGCCGGGGCAGAGAGGGGGTGAGGTGGGGCGGGTGGGTACGGGGACGCGCTGCCAACGGCTGGCTGGCTGGCTGGCGCGAGCCGAGGCCGGCGCGGCAAGGCGACGGCGGGCGGCACCAACAGCTCGGCTCACCTCTGCCTTATTCAACATTCAATTCCGCCTAACGGTATGGGGGAGGCGTTTGCGCGCACCCCGTTATCGAGCAGCGTGCTGCTCACGGCGTTCATCACGGCCCTCCCCTCCTCGACATCCTCTCCTCTGCCTCCTCATCCTGCAGCAGCCGGCGCCGCTCCCCGCCCCGCCACACCCCCGGCCGTGGGATGAGGCCTTGAGGCGCGGCGGGGCGTGGCGGGGAGGCCCCCACGGGGGCGCTGAGGACGCAGCCAAGGAGAAAAGGGCAGGAAGCAGCGAGCGGGGGGGATGGAGAGATGGGGAGGAAGAGCGGGGCGAGAGGCCGTATAAGGGGGAAGACTTCGCGTCTCCATCCTCCTCCTGTTCGTCACGGTCGTCCTCGGCTACCGTCCCCGGATCGACTCCACATCTTTATTTTCCGCCGGCCGCTCCCGCGCGCCCGTCACGTGGGACAGCTAACGGGACCCTACCGCGCGCGCGGCCCCGGGTCGGTCCTGCCGACCGAGGCGATCCCCGAGGGGGGTGGATCGGGGTGGATGGCATCATTAACACAGGCCAGCGCGCTAACCGCCACGCTCCGGCGCGCCCGCGACGCCAAGGAGCAGGCGGCGTGGCGTGGCCAGAACCTGGGGGCGGAGCGGCCACTTGGAAGGCGCGACTTTCAGCAGCGGCGGTGACGTGGAGCGCGAATTAGAGACGGATTGGAAAACTGGCGAGGGCGCGAGGCGGGGCGGGACTGGCCGGGCGCTCTTGGAAGAAGCGACAGAGGGGGAGGGGCCGGGCGCTGACCAATCAAGCTGCAGCGGGGGACGGCAGCTGGCGCCACAGGTGGGGCCGCATAATGCAAACATCAGCCAGCCGCTGCATAAGGGCCGGCGCCACGCCTCAGCCGCACCAGGCAGATGAGGTTCAGCAAAGTGGCAGCGCGGCAAGTGTGGCTTCAGCCGGCACATTCGTGTATCAGTGTGTGCGGTAGTGTGTGTCTAAGCAGCGGGGGGACAAAGGGAACACACGCTCGGCGACAGACAGACAGATCAGCGAACAACCGCTGTGTATACACACATACACACACACCTAGGGGAGAGGGCACAGTAGTAAGTACACGGGTCCCCGCTCCCCTGCGCGCCACTTAAGCGATTTAAGCCCCCGTGCCGTATAAAGGAAGCCCTAAGCGGCCCAATTGCAAAGAAAACTTTGCGCCGGCGGTGGTGGCACTGCAATCACAGAGATATGGTCTCCCCTCCTCCCTCCCTTGGCGGTCCCTCCTCCCTCCGGGCAACCCTAGCAGCAGCACCCTCAAACAATCTCCCCCTCTCCCTCTCCCCTTCCCTATTAACTTCCGCCGGCTTCCCCTCAAACTATCCTCTTACCTGGCCTACATATTCCAGGCCCGGCCCGGTTCCCCTCCCCTCAGACCGGGCCCGACGCCACCACCGACCCCGCCACAACAGCAGAACTTAGCGTCTGATACCATTTTCATTAAATAAGGACTTTTCCCCGCGGGGCCGTGCGGGCCGGC